CGGAAGTAGGATTGCCCAACCTTCCTTCCGAGGAGTGGCTGGTGGGTTTGAACCGCCAGCCTTCTGGTTAGCAGTCAAGAGCTTTAGCCACTATGTTACCAGAGCTCCTAAATAAAACTTTAACACTGGTAATTATTAGGTTGGAGACATATTTTTATCCACTCAAAATAGTAATGTTGGCAAAACCCAAAAATTCTACTTGATTTAAAGTTCTGTCACATGGAGGAATTCCATAAAAGGATGAAATCAAAGAAACTGTCAGGCTTTTTTGGAAGCATTGGTCCCTAGGGAATTAGACATTTTGCATTTATGACAACAGTAAAAAAAAAATCTATTTGACAGATTAACAACAAATAATGTGTTGGCAGTAACAAATACCAAGGGACAAGCCAAGAGTAAGTAACACTGGCTGTGATAGTTAAGGTTATGTGTCAACTTTGCTGTGCCATGATTCTCAGTGGTTTGGCAGTTATGTAACGATTTAACTTGACAGTTATGTCAATGATGCAGTCATCCTCCATTCTGTGATCCAACGTACTCAACCTCCATTTTTTATATAATACCAATTTTCAAATAATGGCTTAGTCTTTGGAACATAGCCATGTTGGTAAGTGAGGAATGGGTCTATTTAATGATGTTTTCATAAGGGAAAAAAAAAGGAAGATTAAAGGAACTCTGGTGGTGAACTGGGTAAGGCATTTGGCTACTAACCAAAGGGTGGGTGGTTCAAATCCACCAACTGCTTTGTGGAAGGAAGATGAGGCACTCTACTTCTGTAAAGATTTATAGCCTCGGAAACCCAATGGGGATCTCTATGAGTCAAAATTGACCTGATGGCAGTGAGTTTGGTTTGCTTTCTTTGGTTATATGGTAGCATATTGAGATTTTGGAGTAGGAAATAAGCAAAACATCTAAGCTATTTCAAGGTTCATTCCACTAGGTTTTGACTTGTAGAACCCTATTTAAGATATTAACTACCAGAGGGTTATCTTACACTAAATAAGAGGATTATTAGCTCTTAAGGAGGGCATTCATGACTCTCTGCTTGAAACAAATCTCATCTACTAAAAGTTAAGTCAGCATAATTCTGACACTCCATCATCACAAAATTCAAAATATTGATTCTTATTCTACAAGGAGAATAGAGCAAGGAGCTCTGATGGTGCTGTGGTTAAAGCACTGGGCTGTTAACCAAAAGGACAGTAGTTTGAGTCCACCAGCCACTCTGCAGGAGAAAGAAGACACAGTCTGCTTCCGTAAAGATTTACAGCTTTGGAAACCCTATGGGGCAGTTCTATTCTGTCCTACAGGGTTGCTATGATTCAGAATTGACTTGATTGCAGTTTTTTTTTTTTTTTTAAAGTTTATTCCTTCACATTCAGGAGAAGCCACTAGAACTCAAAGTATGGGTTTAGAAACTGGGATGCCCAGTCCAATTCTCTCTGCCTTCGATGCAAGTAGATTCTTTGTCTACTTCCCTTCTAACTAGAAATTGTTGCAGGAATAAAGGGACTGGTTGGGTGATCAAATACTATACCAAGGAGGGAAACATCTGCAGAATGTGGCTGGAGTAACCTGGTCATCAAGTCTCCTATTTCCAAAATAATCTCAAGGGTACAAAGTGATAAGCAGAGGAAGATTCCTTTGTTACAGAATAACCCTTGCCATCAAATTGATTCTGACTCATAGCAACCCTACAGGACAGGGCAACACTGCCCCAAAGGGTTTCCAAGGCTGTAAATCTTTACAGAACCAGTCTGGCTCATCTTTCTTCTGTGGAGTGGCTGTGGGTTTGAACTGCTGACCTTTTGGTTAGCACCTGGAACTTAACCACTGCACCACCAGGGCTCTGTTATGGAATAGGTAGTGATAATAAAGGTCATTCTGCCTGAAAAGAAATCTGAGAAAATAAAACTTTTTTACGAACTGTAAGAATTTTACTTTCTTAAAAATTATCTGAATAATAATAATAATTATCTGAATAATAATGTCATTATTTTATGTCCCTCCAGAACAATACCTCCATGTTGGCTGCCCTATTTTCTGTGTTCTTTTAGGCCCTGTATACCATTATCACAATGTCCTTCCTTTGTTTCTTATGGTCTGCCTATTCTACTTAGCTTTGAGAGAATGCAGAGTAAATATGGCAGATCAGTGAATTAGAGCCCTCTGAATAATTAAAGATTTAGATCTTGACAATCATATTTATTTCATAAAACTGACACATTTTAAAAAGCTACTTAAAAAAAAATTACTTTCTATTTAAAGAAGCCCTGGCCCTATCCTCTCACATACTAAGTGCTGACTGGTCTCCAGAAATCATCAAAACTTTATGGACAAACATGTACGCACAGTTACAAAGATACAAGGTCATTACTGACATTATACAACACCCAGGGGGCTGACAGCATATGATCCTCTAATGGCCCATTTCATCACCATCATCCATAAATCAAAAAAACCAAACTCACTGCCGTGGAGTTGGATCCGACTCATAGCAACCCCTCTTTGGGTTTGCGAGGTAGTACCATCATCCATAACCATCTTCAAAACAGTAACTCCCAGGATATTATTTATATTGTCCTTCAAGACTAAAGGAGCTCTGGTGGTGCAGTGGTTAACCCATTCGGCTGCTAACCACAAAGTCTGCAATTTGAACCAACCAGCTGCTCAGAGGGAGAAAGATGAGGCAGTTCTACTCTGTCCTACAGGGTCGCTAGGAGTCGGAATTGACTTGATGGCAGTGGGTTTGGTTTTAGTCAAGACTAAGGGAAGGGTTTCCAAAACCACCTGTGTATATTAAAAGAACTAGGACTACTGAAAGTATTTGTACAATGGAACAATTTTAGAACCATCAAAACAGAATCAAACAGAGGTTTTGCTTGGGGGAAGAATGAAAGATCATATTTAGTATGTTTTAGTTCAAATGATGTAAATTTCGCAGACTTCAAAGTAAACTTTGAAAGCTTTTCAAATTATAAATGGGAAGATTTTCCCCCAAACAGCCCATTCACAGTACTTACAGCACTGAAGTTAGCAAAATTGCTTGGGTCAGCCTCTTTATTGGTAGTGGTAGTAGTAGAAGAAGTGAATGGATCGCAAAACATATCAGGATCTTTTTCTTTGGGGCTATCATTGCCTGGGAAAGGCTGAAATGGATCTTTCAGTTTAAATGGATCAGAAGAATCCAATTTGTTGATGGGTCTTTTCCCTGGATCAAAATCATTATAATTAACTCAACCAGCAAATATGGCAAACATAAACATACAACAACATGAACAAGGGGAGCCATTAAAGAACTAGGGGTTTGTGGGGTTGGGGATGAGTGCCTACAACTTTCTCAATATTGCCTTAAATGGCCATACCAAAAATTTGTTCTTAAGTTCTCCACACACAACCTCTCAAAAAACAAAATGTAGCTCTATGTAGCTAAGGGGTGGGGGGCAACTAACAAAGGGGAGTGAGTGGGCAGGAATCATATTTTTGTTCAGAGATTAAACTCCACCCCCTGCACTTACAAAGCAGCATGTTCCCAAGAGGGGGGAAAGGATAAAGAGGAGAATGACGGAATGAATAAAAGGAACATTCTCTGGAGTTAGAACCTCAGCTTGTTAATTATTCAGTTATCCACTATTGGCAGTAAGGGCAAATGACCTTTGAAAAATGACGATATTCTTCCGCTTTTTCTCTGGATATATATAATACCTCAGAGCATGAAATCAAAATTATCTTGACAAAATCCCTCCTACTTTTTGCCATCCACAATATTGAAAATTTAAGAATAAAGAAAATATTTTGACACTTAAGGCCTAAATCTTAGTGGTTGCTGATAAACTAATCTTTGATTAAACAATAGCATACTATCCTGTTAATCACTCAATAATGAATTCATCACCATTTTCAAACAAGTTCTCTAATTTTAAGGTCTTACTTATACTTAGTACTTCTTGAAGAAAAGATGTAAGAACAGGTGTTAAAATATTCTTGAATATATATTTTTCCTAAAATGCATCAAGCTGGTAACAGTAATCATAATATACTCTATTACTCTAGCAGTTTACAAAAGATGTTCATATCCCAATAGACCTTTCCAACAATCCTGCTAAGAAGGTAGGCAAAATTATCCCACCATGTAACAATTGAGGCAACTGAGTATTTTGTTGTTGTTGTTACGTGCTGTCGAGTCGGACTGGACTCATAGCGACCCCTCCTTGGGTTTCCGATGCAGTATCACTACGGAAGTAGATTGCCCCATCTTCCTTCCGAGGAGTTGCTGGTGGGTTTGAACTGCCAACCTTCTGATTGGCAGTCAAGTGCCTTAGGCACTATGCTACCAGAGCTCCCAACTGAGTATTAGATATATAAAATTATATACTTAAGATCACAGAACTAGTCAGTTGGAGAGACAGGATTAGGCTCCCAGTCCAGAGTCATTTGCAACATACCACCCTTCCCTCTTGATCTTTCTACAAAGAGATATATTCACTTTGCTGATGATTTGCAGATTTAATCTAGGTCCTAGTATATTATTTTACTTAGGATTTAAAAAATAACCTCACTAATGGCATCATAAAAACCTGAATGAGAAACTGATTATTACTTGTTTTCTTTGAATAAGTATATTCAGACAACCTTACTCTCTAGCAACATGTGATATAGACTGATTTTCCTTAAAAGATATGAATCACTTAAAGAAGAGAAAAACAATCTGCTGAAGAAATACCATGAGAGTTTATTATGAAAAGGCAATAATAATAATCTATATAATGACTGAGCTGAAACTTCACCAAGGAATGACATATGAGTAACAACAATGTTCCAGATGTGTCTTCCCACATAGTAGCACCAAAACTACTCAGGGAACTTTTTAGCCACTTCTCATGAACTTTATTATTTATTATCTTCATTAAAAACAAAACAAAAAAACCTTTCATTCATATATTACCCCCAAAAATAATCCAAAGCTCTTAAGAATTTGTTCCTGGAAAGAAGGTAATCATTATTATAAATACATATTATAGTATAAACGAAGGAGTCTTTCATTAAGCGAGGTAAAATTATGTCTTTCTTAAAAACAAAACAAAACTGTACCTTATTTTAAACGAACATAACTGCTGATTTCTGGTTCTCTGAATTCAGTCATACATCACCCTACAAAGTGGACTCTGAGTCACTCTCTTTTATATAAAATTGTTGAAAACACCAAGTGTAGGAAATTTGGAAACTGCTGTTCAAATGATAATGACCTCTGAAAAAGAGTTTCATCTACATTTTCTTTTCTCCAATTATTGCCTCTCTAAAATGATTTCAGAAAACCTAAACCAAAACCAAAACCAATTAGTTCTTGCAAGAAAGACAGTTCATGAGTTACACATGCTAGTCTGTGTCTGCAGTTCTGTACTGGGCTCAGAACAGGTAATAGCAGTGGGCTTCTGTCATGTTTTTTGATTCACTTGCTTATGGCCTTTTATATAATATGTAAGAATACAATTAAGGCCCACACAGTACTCTTCAGAAAAAGAAAAGACATTTAGTTGATTTAGAAAGATAGCAACTCTCATACCAGGTGGTGGTGGGCAAGGTCGTGTTGGAGTTCCAATCTTTGGTGGCAGTGCTGGGGGCACATCTTCACTTTTGACTGATGCTTCCTCAAACACATTTTTTGTAGTGACCACATTACTGACAGAAGTTGATGTGGCAGAACTAAATGGATCCTCATTGTTGACCTTTGAAGAAAAATGTTTAGGTATGGTAATATACGTATGACACCAAGCAAATTGAGCATGGCCATGCAGCATTTGGAAGAATGATGCTGAAGTTTTATACAGCTTTATTTATTTTAAAAGCATGGACATTTTAATCTTTGCATTAAAGGCCAAAAGGGAGAAATTAAAGAAAAAAAAAAAAAGTTCCAGGTGAGTAGTGATGGTAAAATCACTACTAATATTAAGAGCAACAAATATCAAAATAAGCCAACTCTACATTAAAGGTTTGTTAAGCTTCAGGCAATATTAAATACAAAACCATCAGAAGCTCATTTTAAAGGGAATGTATGTTTTCCCTCAAATTAATCCAGATGGTAAGAAAAAAAATACTGATCCCACATTTTTGAATGCACTTTAATATGTTGTTGCTGTTATGTGCCGTCGAGTCAGCCCCGACTCACAGCAACCCCTCCTTGGGTTGCCAAGGCAGTATCACTACAGAAGTAGATTGCCCAACCTTCCTTCCGAGGAGTGGCTGGTGGGTTTGAACCACCAGCCTTCTGGTTAGCAGT